GGGGCCTGGCTGCCCAAGGAGATCCCAGTTGGAGACGAGTGTTGCCGGGGTGGGGACAGGTGGAGATGCCTGTACCTGTGTGTCCAGGGGAAGCTAGAGATGCATGTGGAGGAAGAGACCTGACTCCAGGGCAAATGTGGGGGTGCTTCTAACAGATCCTGACCCTGGCCCTATGAAGGGAACCAGCTCATCCTGCCACCCTCAACCTCAGGTGCATGGAGGTGGCTGGGTGGTACGTGCCCCACCCAGCAGAGAAGCCACATGTAAGGGATGCCCATGAAATGCTTTGGCACAGGCAAGACCAATGCCCAGTCATGATATCCTAGTGTGACCTCGCCACGTGAGGCTTTTATTGTCTTTGTTGTATAAGTGACAACTGAATATTGTGTATATTTAACGTGCATGACTTAAAGCGTTGGTATATGTATATACTGGGAAATAATCTCCACCACTGAGGTAATGAACATATCCATCCCTGCACATAGTGACGGGTCTGTCTCTTCTTTTTGTGATGAGAATACGTAAGATCTACCTGCATAGCAAATTTGAAGTACACAATACAGCGCTATTAATTATAGCCTCATTGCTGGACGTTAAGTCCCAGAACATATTAACCTGCACAACTGAATCTTGTGCCTCTTAACCAACATCTCCCAACCCCAGCCCATCCCCTCACAATCTCCATTCTACTCTTCATTTCTGTGAACTATTTTAGATTTTACCTATAAGTGAGATCATGCAGAATTTATTGTCTGTGTCTGGCTAGGTGCACTTAGCATGATGCCCAGGTTCATCCCTGTCTAAAGTGGCAAGATCTCCTTTTTCAAAGTTGAATAATTTTCCGTTGTACATAAATCCGTGTGTGTGCATGTATATGAAACGTATATGTATGTGTGTTTGTGTGTATGCCATGTTCTTTATCCTTTCCTCCATATACAGATATTTAGGTTGCTTGCTTCTTTTGGTAATTTAAATATTAAATTTAAACATTGAAATAATTCCCTGTGTTTGGTAGTCAGCTGCAGCCCTGGGCCCCCCAAGTGCCCATAGCATCCAGGTCACCACTTTGCCCACTCATGTCACCTGCCACTGGGACCCTGTCCTCACGCAGCTCTTCTGACTAATTGTTCCTCTCCCACTAGCAGTTAAGCATTTCAACTTTCTCCCAGAACACAGGGGCTTCCTGCCATGCAAGAGTTGTTTCAAAAGCACCTCTAGCCTTGGTGTGGAAAGAGGAGGTGTTGGGAGGTCAATTGAAAGCTAGTCGCCACCAGAACCAGGCCCTTGCAGCTGTGCATGATGAGTTGCACGGGCTGCTGGTGGGGACCACACAGCCGGCTGGAGTGAAGACAGTGGGATACACATTATCTTCCCTGGGGGCACAAGGGCAGTGTGCAAGAAGGGGTGTGGGCAGGCCCTCAATAAAGGGAACTTCTAGGGGATAATCACTGAGTCAAATTATTCACAAAGTCGCTGGTGAGTGCAGATCAGCACACAGACTTGAGAACAATCTAGACCTGTGCTTCGATGGTAGCCACTGGTCACCCATGTTTATGAAAGGTGGTTGGTCCAAATTGAAGTTTCCTCTAAGTATACAATACACAGCAGATTTCAAAGAGTTAGTATGAGAAAATGCATGCAAATCTCATTCACAGTTTTCTTATACTGTCTCCATGTTGAAGTGCTAAAATCGGGGGCACATTGGTTTAGATAAAATATATTATGAAAAATAATCTTCCCCGTTTCTATTGTTAATGTAACCACTGCTAGAAAATTTTAAATTGTGTGTGACTGACCTTGATGGCTGGCATGCCTGTTGTCCAGGGCCAGCGTGTTCCATGAGCCTGAGGTGAAGGCTGATAGCCACTGCAACCTTCCACAGAGCACACATCCCACTGGGTTTCCTCAGGATGGTGCTGCCTGTGGATGATCAGATCTCTCCCCTCTGATGTCCCCTCTCCCTTACTCTTTTAAAAACGTCGACCCTTCCTTCCCTCAGCCTGTGCATTATGTTTTTATAAAATCTATTAGTACCACTAATTTTGCTACTTCAAATCAGTCTCCCTGCTGACTTAAGAGATTTTGTCTCCTGAGGTGGCCTTTGAGGAAAGCTGATATTACCCACTACTCGTGGCATTAGTCTGCTCTCAGGGTGGGGGGCACTCAGGTGGGTACCTGCTGCCTTCACTCCAGCTTCAATGGGGGGGCTGGCCTGATAATCCCTGATCACACCCCAGTCCATCAGCCAGATCTTTTAGGAAGCAGAGAGGCCTTTGAACACCCCTCTGCTGAGGGCTCGGCCATTTGGTCTTAGCTGTATGAAATCTGAGCCCTCCTGGAGGCCAGGGCTGAGGTCACTTTGCTTTTCAGGAGCCAGGACACCCAGGCATCCTGCAGACGGACTAAGGGGGCATGCCTGGGTATGGCCTCGCTCTGACAGGGGCACGTAGAGTCAGGATGTGCTTTCCTTCGTGTGTCAGCCTCAGAGACCAGCATCTAAACACCCACATTCACATTAGTGGCTGCTTTATTTTTCCTTTTTTTAAAAATTAATTTCTGCTTTCATCCATTCTCACTGCTTAGGCGATCCGTAAGTTTCTTCTACACTGTATAAAATAATAAATGTTATTTATCCTAATGTGGACACTAATACACGTTGCTTAGCCTCAGCTGTCACCTCATTTGCCTTGGGTGGCCCCTGAGTCAGTGCCTAAGTCACAGACTCCGGGTGGAATTGGCGTGAGATTTGCTTCTGTTTGTCTTTTTCTCCCTGAAGGGCCATTTGAACGCTGTGTGACATTTGCTGGTCTTTCTGGCTGCCTTAGAGTACTGGGAGCAGTGAGAGGGGAGGCTGAGTTCTTCCTGATCCTGCCTCTTACCTTGATCTCACCTGGTTCTCACTTTGATCAGCTCAGAGTCCATCATCTGATTGGTACCACGTGGTTTGTTTTTCCCCCAGGGAATCAATCAGGTATTAGCTACTTGTTTTCTTCACCTTTACTTGAAGTATAAGGAACAAATAAAAATTGTATGTATTTAAGAGCGCAACTGAATGTTTTGATATACATAAATATTGTGAAATAATTGCTACCATCAAGTGTGTGCATCATTTAACAGAGCTATCATTTTCCCCTCCCCCACCCCCTTTTTTTTGGCCTGTGATGAGAACATTTAATATCATCCTTCTTAGAAAACTGGCATACAGTTGAGTATTCACCGTAGTCACACAGCTGGCCATTCGCTCTCCAGATCCTGTTCGCCCTGCAAAACTGAACATCCCACCCCTTGACCATCTCCACCCACAACCCCCAGCCCCTGGAAACCACCATTCTAGTCTCTGCTTCTGCAAATTTGATGATTTTAGATTCCACATAAAGATGAGATCAGATCATATTTGTCTTTCTGTGTCTGGCTTATTCACTTAGCACGATGTCCTCCAGGTTAATAGATATTGTTGCAAATGGCGGGGTTTCCTTTTTGTTCCCCTTGCAGCTCTATAACAGTTTCAAGTGTTTCACACCTCCATAAAAGTGGGTACCACCCCACACCCACCCCTGAAAGTCTAGTTGCCACCCAGCGCTCTCCCACTGGCCCCGCTCCCTGCTCGACCCAGCCTCTGCCCCTTTCTCCCCTGCCAACGATGTCTGTCCTCGGTGGCTAAGGGCTTCTATTGGCTTCATTTTGTTTGTTGCTTTGTTTCTTTATATTCCATATATAAGTGGCTTCCTTCCTTTTTAAGGCTGACTATTGTATATATATATATAAAGTCACATTTTCTTTATTCCTCTAGCGACAGATATTTAGACTGTTTCGTGGCTACGAGGTGCAGGTACCTTTTTGAGATCCTGATTCACTGCTCTTGGACATACACCCAGGAGTGGAATTGCTGGGTCATTTGCTAGTTCTGGTTTTCTTTGAGGAATCTCCTTGCTGTTTTAGTGACTGCACTGGTTTACTCTCCTGTCCCTGAGCACTGGGCTCCCTCCTCTGCACACCTTCACCAGCTCTCCAGATCCTGCATACTGAGCACGACCTTGTCTGGGTTCTGTGCCTGACAGTGAGGCTGCAGCACTGAGTGACAGGCATGCTGTCTGCCCTGTGAGACTCTCGCAGTCCTGGGTCTCTGCCCCATGGGCAGTTCCTCCCCACCTCAGTGCCTGCAGGGATGCACATCTTTCTGTAGTTTATCTCCATTCTTGGCCTCCTTTCCACCCCCAGAGAGCTTCGAATCATCAGCAAGTGCTCCTGCTCCCTCCTCCCGGCCACTTATAAAAAATATTAAATAAGACTAGTCATAACACTAGAGCTTGGGGAGGCCCCTGGTTCCCACTTCACACAGAAATGTGTCTTTTTCTGTCTCTAAGTCGGCTCTCTCTCCATGGCCAAACTGCCCCAAGTCCCACGGAGACTCATTATTTTTAAAGACCTTTTCATGTGGAACCTTGTCAAAGGCTTTGGAAAATCTAAATAACTATGCAGTAACCACTGAGCCAGGAATTGGGGCGCCTGGGTCCTGCTCCTGCCATTGGTCTGTCATTGAACTTTGGGCAAGATGCAAACCAGCCCAAATGTGCATTCCTTCATCAGTAATGTGAGAATGATGATGCTGACAGTCAACATCATAAAAATTTTACAACCATCAGATGAGGCAGTGTTATTTAAGAGTGCTTGGCAGGGTATCAAACAGAAATTATAAGGGGTCATTATTTTGAAAATTTACAACTGCATCTTTTTCATTCATGGGCTCGTTTCTTTCCCAAAAGAACTTCAGTTGATATGGACATAATTCCCCCTGCGGTCCCAGGGCGATGCTTGTTTAGCATCAACTACTTTCACTCCTTGAAGGGAGGCAGGATTATATAACTAATTGGTGTAGCATGCACAGGCATAGAGGCAAGGCCACAGAATCAGGCAGACCCTGATGTGGGGCAAGGTTGTGCCATGGCAAGCTGTGTGACCATGACCAAGTTGTTAAACCTTTGTCCTTTACCTGTTAATGGGTGAATATTAGTGCTACTTCACGGAGTGATGAGATTTTAATAAGAAGACAAATACTGTAGAATGCCTGGCATCACACCCAACTCACAGTAACCCCTCAATCATTAGTGATTCATGTTGTTGTTGTTCATGTAAGCAGCCAGACCTACATACAGTTCATAATTATCCATCCTTTGGCAAATCCCATCAGAGGCTCCTGTCTTGTCTGAGAATTTTTCAGCAGATGGATGAATGAATGCTTTCCTTCAGTTTTCTGAAACAAGAAGTGGATTGGGTGGATTGGAGTAGGGTGGTGGGTGAGGGAGACCCACCTTTCCAATTACTGATTTCCCTCCCAGATAGAGTTTGGGGGCTTCAGAGGAATAGAACACTCTCTCTCCTCACCTGGGAAGACCAGGTATTGGAAACTTATTTATGCTACTCAGTCACCTCTTTGTCCCTGCCCCTCTTCATGTGGTTTCCTGTGATGTCTACCTACCTCCAGCACATCACTTTGTTCTAAAGAGCGGGGAAGTGGGAGCCAATAAGAAGATTGCTCAGGCACTGAATCCAATTTCCCTTGGGGATCAGACCACTAAATGCTTATGGACTCAGTTCTGCCAGCATTCCCTAGGAGAGGCTTCTCCTGACATGGCTCGAGGGGGCTGGAGCCCAGCCAGGGCCCTCAGTATCAATCTCTGCTGCTGCTCCCGAAGCAATTTACAGCGGGATGAGGCCTGATTGGGATGGGGGCCAAGGCCATCACCGCACGGTCAGACTTGTGTGGTAATCCCAGTTGGTTTTGCATGAACTCCCATTTCATTCAGATTAAGGAATGACCTGGCCAGGTTGGTCATCTGGTGACTTGAGGGTGGGCACAGAAGAAGGAGGGCTGTTGGAATGCAAGGCACTTTGATTTTTAGGGCTAAACACGTCTTTGTCTAACTGCTTTATGGTTGTTATTGCTGTTGCTTTCATGAATAAGAAATCCACAAAGTGTAAACTTCATTCATAGATTTCTTCATTTTTAAATAAATATTTGTCAGGCTCAAGTATTTCAGCATCAGAATCAGGAGTGGCTGTAGGAAGCCTCTGGAATTACAAAGACCAGTGATGGATATTGACCTTAGTCCCTGCCTTTATTTATGAATCCCCGCACCCCCAGGAAGTGAACATAAAACCCATCAATAAATAACCCCCATGTAGAAATAACCCCCATGTATCCCATGTTAGAAAAGCATGGGCTTTAGGGGGCCTCCCCTGGTGGCGTAGCGGTTGAGCGCTGGGCTGCGAGGCTGCCTGCAGCCTCTGCAGTGCTGGTTCATTCCCCGGCCACCAGCGAGGATCCCACAAAAAAAGAAAAAAAGAAAAAGAAAAGCATGGGCTTTAAAGTCAAACTTCAGATTCTAATTATGTCCCCAGATCTTACAGCTCATGTCAGTTGTTCAGTATACCTGAACCTCATTTTACTCATTCTATTATAGCAGTATGTCACTTAGGACTTCCAAGGTTGAAAAAAATCCTTCTTATTACTTTAACAACAAGGGAATGTCTTGAGTAACTAGAAAGTTCTGTGCTGGCTTCAGAGCTATTTTGATTCAGTGACTTAGTGACATTATCGAAGACCCCAGGTTTCTCCGTCTCTGTACCTGACTGTCCCTGGTTCTAACTGCCCTCCTCATTTCAAGTCGGCTGCCAACAGTTCTTTGAGTTCCATATTTCCTTGACCCTGTTGAGGGAGAGGAAAGATCCTTCTCTCTTCCGCCACCATGAAACACAGTCCCTGCTTTACTCTGATTGCGTTTGTTCATTAATATGGGTCTACTTTCTCTCCTTCACTGTGGCAAGAGAATGAGTTCCTAGAGATTTGCTTATGCCCATCATGGAGGCCCTAGGAAGCAAGGGTGAGTCCAATCCCACCCAAAAGGTGAGAGAGAATGGATGGATGCCGGAGGGTCATGCAAGCCTTGGCAAGTGAACGTTAAGCCCAGAGAATTGAGAGGATCATCTCAATTATGTGCAAAACATCTCACAGTGCTTGACTAGGAAGGAATAAAAGGAAAACAAACAAACAGGCTGAAACAAACAAAATACTCTGGTATCAGAGTTCAGTGAATTTAGCATAAATGAGGAGCAGTCAACTTTCAAGTGAATCAGTGTTGTTGTTTGTCTGTCATTGATGTGGTCTCGCTTTGGTAATCTAGTTCTTCCAAATGATTTTCTCTTCCTGTGCTCATGAGAGGTTAACAATTAAATATTAAAAATTAAGTATCAGGGTATATACTGGGAATGCTTGGAATTTAACATTTTCTTCAGCTTGCATATTAAAATCTCTAAAATTGCATATGGGTACCATAGAGTTTTGTAAATTTCGTGGTCCTCTAGCTAGTCCCTTTCCTTTCTACCTTTGACATTCTTCTTACCCTCCTACACCTTAAGTAGTATTTGGCCCTGGCTTATGTGAGTGGCATTAGTAGCAACAGGCAGGAGTCATTTTGAATCTCAGATTTATAATCATGGTGATTCTAGAGTCCTGGACCCATCACCCAGGGCTGGATGAGCCTCGCGGGGGGCTGGGACTGCCTGTCTTTGCTAGAGTTGTCCTCACCCATGGGAGTCACGTACAAAAGCCTTTCCCACTTGTCTCTACATTGTCCCAGCTATTCTAGGAAGGACTTGTGGACAGTCCAGGGGTGATCAGCTCTGCTAAGTGTTCTCGGAAGATGGAGGCTGACTCATGCTCAAAACACATTTTCCTGGAAAGCCCACATTCCCTACCCTGGGGACAGGAAAAGGACTTTTGGGAGGTTTAGGGTTCCAACATCTACTCCAAAATCTGGGGCATGAGCCAGTGGGCTAATGGCCAAAATGAGTGCACCTGGAGTGAAATTTTAGGGCAGCCTCATGGACTGGTTCCCCTCCATGATGTAAAAGTCATAGTGGGATACATTTTGAAGAATTTGCCCACATTCTTACACCCAAATTGTTCCTGCTGACAAAAGTGGCAAATAATACTCTTTCTGTTATAGGTCAACGTGTTGATCAATTTTTATCCATTGTTCACTGAATCCCCTGACTCCTTCCCCCTTTGTGAGCCCCATCCTTTTCTCCAACGACAAAGCCTGAGACATAGGGAACCTGAGAGAGTAATGGCAGGTCCCGGGAGGGCCTGCTTTGCTGTCTCCCTTTCCCTTCTCTTGGCCATTCACAGCATGAGGTCCATGGTAGTCTTGGGCTCCTTTGGCCAGACCTTGAGCCTTGTGGAGAGCTCTCAGCTCTCTCCTAGTTGCTGGGAAGGTCACCAGCATGAAACTCGATGGTGGACAGTATAGGATCTAAACTCACCTCAACTTTCCTTTTCTCTTTTCCACAGATCCGGGTGGATGGCCCCAGGGGCAATGCTCTCCAGTATGAGACTGTGCAGGTGGTGGAGCCTGGCCCCATCCTCCGGGACATGGCTTTCTCCAAGGACCACGAGCAGCTCTACATCATGTCAGAAAGGCAGGTAAGGCTCGATGGGCTCTGTTAGACATTTGTCTTGCAGCTAACTACTAGCCTGTGGCTCAGTAGCAACCTACAGGAGGCTGGCTGCAGAGAGGGATTTGATTTATTAGACTCAGTGTATGTATCCTTTCGGTTCTGCTGCCTGGGGACTGAGGCTGAGTTCACTGAAACAGACTGAAATGTTCAAAATATCAAAATATCTGTGAATCTAGAACAAATCCACTAACCTCAAAATGATGGTGTGTGTAGATGCGGGGTCAATGTTTACTCTTTTGGAGAAACGTGGCATTGACGCCCAAGTTTTTTGTCCAGATTTCCCTGCACAAAGTATAATCTCCTATCAAGGTCACCTTTTTGAACCCTGGAGGGAAAAGATTTGTTACCCAAATAACCTAGTTGAGGGAATGCCTTAGAGGAATCAAATGGGTAGAAATTCAGAAAACTGAATCTGTGTGTTTGAGATGCAATGATACAGAAATCCCGAGTTTTTGTGTATATTTGTTACTCTAACATGGGATACCCAGCAATTCCATGAGATTAACCCAGACAGAACACAGATGGTGCAAGGATTATCATTAGCAAGTCGGGCTTGCTTCTGGAAGTCACTCGAGACCTGAGTACATTGTTCAGGGGGGCCCCAAGGGCAGACAGGACTCTTGTGTCTGCAACAGGCAAATTCATCCACATTGCCTTGGAAATTCCATGTATTTGAGGGTATTTCCTGGAATCCCCAATTTACAGCTCAGAGTGTGCCATCCCAAAACACCCACCCACCCACACCAAGTGTGGATCAGCACCACCACCTCCATGTTGGGAGAGTCCTCCCTGGGAGCTGTCCCTCCAGTCCATGAATGTGGATGCATCAAAGCAGCAGCCACCAGGGGCAGACCCCTCCCATCACCCCACTTACCCATTTTCCTTAGCAAGACCTAAACTCCCCTTGCTGACAGAGTCTGGATTGTTCTGCCTGCCCCCTCTCTGCGTGGTGGGAGAGATGAATACTACATTATGCCACCCACAGGGCTTTTGCATTATGTCTTGGCAACGCACAGCAGCTCCACCCTCCCCAGAGCCCGATGACATCTTCTCTTGGTGTGGGACTCCCTACTCAGTCACACTGGGACCCATTGTGGTGTCTCCTCGAGGCTGCCATGTTTGGGAATGTCCTTGTATGGTGCTGAGAGGGCAGCCTTTTGCCTGGGAGTCAGGACCTGCTAAGAGGCTGCTCCTTAACTTTCCTGCTCTCTCCTTTTCAATGGTGCCCACACTCTCCACTCCCCGTCTAGCTCTGAGGCCCCAGATGCCGAAGAAAAACACTTTTCCATGGTGGAAAGACTCTTTCTCAGTAGACTTAAGACCTCAACAAAACACTGAATATTTTAGGATTTCTTGCCTGACTTGAAAGCCACGATTCCTGAACCCGGGCCTTGTACTGTCTAAGGACTTCCAAAGAGGATATATAAGTTGAGTGGAACCCCCCACTTCAGCCCCCTCTGATGACTGAGCATTCTGCGCGTCACTCCTTCTCCTGAGGGGTCCAGCTGTGTCCTTACATGCTCCATCCTCTAAACTTCAGTAAATTTCATTCATTCATGCTGACAAGTACGTACTAAGTAGTTGTGAGCCCAGCTTTCTAGATACTAAAGATTCCATGGGAACAAAATCCCTGCTCTCAGAGTGCTTACATTTTAGGCAGAGAGGCAGACAGTGAATGAGTGAATAAATAAATGAGTGATTGGTAATACTGAATACAGTAAAAAACTAAAGACTCAGGAGGAATATAACAATGCCCAGTAGTGTGGGGAAGGTTGTTTCAGATGCCAATCAGAGAAAGTCTCCTAGGAGGCTCTTTTGAGTGAGAATAGGATAAGTTGAAGTGGTAGAAGCTGATGTCACTGGTCCAAGTGGCATAAAGGCCATGGAACTCAGTGTTTCTGGGATGTCGGGAAGGCTGCATGGAGCAAGAACATGGAAAGTGGTAGGTGATGCCATGGGAGAGAGAAGCTGACTCGATCACACAGGGCCTCAGCTTGTGAATGTGTGAAATGGGAAAATAATAAATAGGATTTCTCTCCTGGGGTGATGACAACAAGTCAATGAGATGATTTGGGTAAAAGTGCTTGACTCAGTGTCTAGAAGTGAGAGAGCACTCAACAAATGTTAGCAACCTTCACGGTTACTTGCAAGTTGAATAATCCTATAGTTGAGATATTGTTTCTACTGGGTTGGCTGTGTGAGATCCTCTCTAGTCCTCACCCACAAGTCCATCTAGTCTTCTGATCCATCTAGTCTTCTGATGACTCTGGCTGTCTCTCCAGGGTGTGTGTGTACATGTGTGTATGTTTATGTGTGTACACATGCGCACAACTTCCCCGGTGTTGTCCCTGGGTCCCCGTCAGCCTCTTTCTGCCTTGCACATTTTCATGTGCATGGCTATATGTATATTGACTATAACTCCGGAACTCCCAAGGAATGTCTGTTCACATGTGAAGCCACTAAGATAAGAACCTGCCAAACCTATGGGAGGGCAGTAAGAGGAAAGGTCGGCAAGGCAGAATAACCAGGAGATGAGGTACAGAACTGGGGTGTCCTCAGGTGCCCTGGATCAACCCCTTACCAGAAGAAGCAGCTGTCCCCCAACCCCACACACAGAGAACCTCCAGAGCAAGTGGCAGATTGCTCAATTTCAGCATCCCTGCCATCCCACACACATGCAAGCCAGGAGCCTTGGATACAGGTTTCTGCTTCTGAGATACAATTTTAATTGTGTTTGGACCAAAACTACCATTGATCGTGTTCTTTGTTTTGCTGTTCCCGTTGGAAGCTCTGTTTTCAGGTGGGTGCCTGGGAGACCCAGCTCACAGCTGTACCCACTCATGAGCTGCTGGCACTCAAGTCCTATCTGTGAACCAAGCACACAGATGCCCACTGGGACTAAGAGCTGGGTCTGTCTGACTGTGGGTCCACATGCTGGTCAGACCTACCTGGAAAAGCAGGACCAGGAAGGGGAAGAGCTGCTTAACTCTGTTGGCATAATCCAGTAAAGAAGCAGCAAGATTCATCTTCCTTTACTAAGTATAACCCGGGAGTCATTCGTTTATTCAACAGATAGTCACTAAGCACCTACTGTGTGCCAAGCACTAATCAAGATGTTTGGGATATAACAGGGAAGAAACAGATCAAACTCCCTGATTTCATGAGCCTACCATTTTAGTAAGAGGAGACAGCAAGGACACAATGAACATAATAGATAAATCACATAGTAGGTTAGCAGGAAATAAGTACTATGGCAAAGCAAATAGAGTGGGGAACTGGTCAGGGCAAAGGGCTATAGTTTTAAACAGAGTGGCCAAAGAGGCTTCCCAGATGCAAAAGCATAAAACAGGGTGCAGGGGGGCATGTGGAGGGCACCTGTCTCCTGCTCTGTTCTTTGCATTTCTTTACAAGCTCTTTGCTTGTGTTGTGAAGTTGAGAGATGGTTACTCCAGTGGAGATGGTTACTCCAGTGGAGGGCATTGATGAGCAGGTGCTTCTGTGGTTGCGGTGTCTACCTTGTGGAGAGTTTGAGAGATGTTCAGATCAAGGTCAAGAGGAAGGGATGCAGTGTCTGTGACGGGGACCCCCGTATGATGAGGGGACAGTTACTGCTTTTTCAGTGGTTCCCCCCACCCCCAGCCTGCCTCCCAGGGCTGTTGTGGGGTGAGTTGATGTGAAGTTATGGACAGTCTGGGGGTCTGCCGACCTCACCTGCACACGAGGGGCCCCAGCGGAGCCAGCGTCTGCAGCCAGAGCTGATGTGATGGGCTCTTGTGGGGCAGCTTCTACTCTGTGGGTGCTGGCCCAGGCATGGCCCTGGAGTGCTGGGTGACATGTGTCTCCCTATCATTCCTGCCACTGCATGGGACCCGAGCTGTCCCTTCCAGTTTGTGTCAGGACGGCTGACACTGTGACAAGCCCATTTGGACGTTTGCTCCTGGCACTGAGACCAGGCTGTTTCTGAGAGCTCCTGGGAGAGGGAACTTGAAGAGCAGACCTGAGGTGAGTGACAGGGAGCCTGGCTACCTCAGGCATTTGCAGAAGAGAAACACCGTCTGCAGCCTTTTTCCCAATTTCACTCAGGCAAAAGCCTTCCCGTTTGTCAGGCACTGATCCTGAAATTTCCAAGGGAACATGACGGAGATGACCTCTCATCTCACTTCCTCCTCAAAAAAGGCAGGACGTCTGCATTTTACCTTCACAGGCCTGGAGGGAACCAGAGGAAATGGCTTCTGGCCCCTGTCTCCTCCGGTTACCAAGTACTGGAGGCCTGGCTGCACCTGGAGAGGCCCTCAAGTCTTGCAGGGCCCCACTCTAACTCTCTCCTGCTGCCTTTTCCTCCCATAAGTGATGACCTGACTGAAGCCCAGAGGTGGCCAGGCCTTGTCCAGTGTCATACAGCAGGCTGGCAGAGCAGCTAAGTCAGAACCAACTTCAGCTCCTACCGCCGTGCCTCCTCCAGCCCCCTCTTCCAGTGAGGAACAGGGAGCTCTCTGTGGGAACAACAGAGGCTCTTCATTTTCTAGTCTTTGCTGCAGAAAGTTATGTGCACCAGCCCTCCGATGTCAAAGTAAGCCCCTGAAGGATTTGCTGGGGCAGAGGCTGGCTGAGTGGAGCAGTGGGCCCCTCCGTCCATGAGTGAGTTTCCTGTTTTCTTCTTCCCCAGTTCCACCCTGCAAGTTGGGACAAGAGCCCCTTGCAACATCTGTCCTAGAGCTTCTTGGGTCAACTCATCCCCTCAAGGGAGCAGGCAGGGAAGCGCCCCACCACCACCCTCCTTCCCAGCAGATGCGCTGCTAAGCGTCAGGCTCAGGATGGAGTTGAACAGCTCCAGAGTGGGAGCAGCGCCGGTGCCTGCCATTTCTCGGACAGTCCCCGGGGGCGACTGGAAGGCGGCATTGTGTGTGGATGGATCCGCAGGGGTCATGACTAGGCTGTGAACTCGGGTGCTCCTCCCAGCCTGAGTGCTCACTGGCTCTGCCACCGGAGCCAGTCATTCAAGCAGTTCCTGCTTCGGTGTCTTCATGTGTAAAATGCAAATGATAATCAGTACCTTGCAGGGCTTCAGGATTAAAGTTAATATATGTAAAGGGCCTGGCGTGTGGTCGGCTCATGGCAAGTGGTGGGTCTAATCGCCATCATCATCAGCACTATTACTACGTGTCCTGGTGTCCCGGACCAACTGCTCACTGTCTGGGGCCCAAAGGCCAGTTCAGCTCTGCATGCCAGCTCCCCAAGATTGCCTGGCACCCTTCTCAGAAAACACTAAGGCTGAGTGCCCCCTTCACACCTGCAGCACTGGAGGAAACTGAAGGGCCAGCCAGGAGCCTGTGGTCTCCTCCCTGCTCAGAGAGAGCTGTTCCCTCTGCAGCCTGGCTGAGTTTCTACTTCCGTTCTGCAGAAGGGATCTTGGTTTACGTATGGGTTAGTTTGCGTCCAAGCCCTATTGGATTTGAGGTTATCACAGACTGGGCAGCTGAAAAGCCTTCTGGCTCCTCATCTGTCAGGACTCCTCAGGCAGACGGGGAAGTGGTTTGTTTCCCTTCTGCCTGCCCAGAACAGCAGCAGATTTAGCACACAGAGGCAGGACCAAGGGGGGCGGGGACGGGGGGAGCAGGAGGACATCCAAGGGGCTGGTGACCAGGGAGAACAGCAGCAGTTCTCTAATCCTGGACTCCATTAAGCATCTGTCTCCAGCAATCACCCTGATGACCCCATCTCTCCACTCGGCACCAGTGTCCTGCTCCTTCAGGGCGCTCCAGAGCCATTTTAAAGCCAACCACCTGTAGTATTCCACTTAACAGCACACGAGAAGACTCCCCAGGGTGCACATATGGGGCTGGGGCCGTATCTCTGCCACCACTTCAATCCCTCCCCGCCCCTGTGTTTATTGCCTGCCCACTGGGCGCCAAGCCCTGGCAGCACAGAGAACACAAGGAAATCCTGTTCTGGGTGAGGTGGGTACAAACACAGGCTCACAGGGCATTGAGAAGAAAGCGGCCCCACTGTGGGGATCACCCTGGAATTCGGGCTCCCAGGCGAGCAG